CTTAGGGTCTAAAATCGTTATTTCCATGAAGCACGTTTTGGCCGTATCAAATTACATCTACACTCTCTAGCCATATGGCTGAGGGTATAATAATCATAAATGTGAGCATCTACACAAGATCTGTTATAATGCTGGTGAGGATTAGACCATTCCTTCTGGTACCTCCCCCACAAAGGGTCAAAGTTTTGAAGAACCAAAACGTTTATAAGATCCAAAATAAGCATCACGTTCTCTTCATATTCCACTTATCCCATTATTTCTACTAACACACGATCTGCTGTGAAGATGGGATATATCGGTCCACTCGTTCTGGTACCTCCCCCACAAAGGATCAACTTTTTGAATTTCCATGAAGTTCATAAAGCGAAATTAACATACGATTCCATTCAAACTTGGCTCATATCAGTATTTCCATCAACATAAGATCTGTTATATAGATGGTGGAGATTGGACTATTTCTTCTGGTACCTCCCCCACAAGGGGTCATAGTTTTGAATAAACAAATCGTTTATAAAATCCGAAATAGGCATCACGTTCTCTTCATATTCCATTTATACCATTATTTCTACTAACACAAGATCTGGAATATATCGGTCCACTCCTTCTGGTACCTTCCTCGCGAAGGGTCGAAATTTTGAATTTCCATGAAACTCATAAAACTCGAAATTCAAATTTGGCACATCTCAATCTTTCCATTAACATTCTGAGTCGATTTACGCATGTCCGTCCGTGTATTTTTGTAAACAAAGTACAGTTCGCATTTATTGCCCTATCCAGATGAAATTTTGCACAGATCATTTGTTTGGCCCAAGGATGAAATCTGTTGAAATTTGAGATAATCGGTAAACATTTAGATGTAGCTTCCATATATATTTTCGTCCGATTTGCCTTCTATTGTGCACCAAACGTCTAATATTAGCCCGAATAGTATGTAATTTTGCACATAAAACCATATCAGGCCTGAAAATAAGTGTGCCAAATTTGATCGAAATCGGTTCAGATATAGCTATAGCTCCCATATATATTGTTCATCCGATTTGTTATTTTTGTCCTCCGCAGCCGTAATATGCACTCTGTAACAACGATATTCAGGGAAATATATCAAATACAGCTCAGAAATATCTTTGCCAAATTTTATCGAGATCGCTTCAGATTTGGATATAGCTCCCATATATATATTTTTATCCGATTTCAAATTAATTGTGCACCAAATAGGCAATACAAGTCCGAATTTAAAAGATGCAAATGCTTCGGCATATTTAGTCCTTTGAACTTTAAATTATAATTAATCATAGCGTGTTTGATTGAATTCTCCCATAAAAACTTTTAATTGTTATGTGGAGCTCAACTAAATTAGCAAAGTGGTGTAGGGTATCATAAAGTCGGCCCGCCCGACTTTAAGACTTTCTTTACTTGTTTCATTTTCGAAAAATTATCGCATATCTCATATAAAATGAAAGAATTAGTCGATATAGTCCAAACCTGGCACGTCGCAATATTTATATTATATTTGTTTAGTCCGATACGATATTTACAATATTGGCCCATTCCTTCGGAACCTACTCCATAAGTCGAAATATATTTAAATAGCTAAAAATTTGCTAAAAGTCTACATCTGTCGGCTTAACCGACTGATACTTTTTAACTTTTTTTATAATCTGCTTTATTTTCCCCTCAATAATTGTTTGTGTTGCACAGGGTAATCCCCTCCAACCTTCATTTTCTTACATTTATGATTATTTTTGATCTTCTTATGGTAAAACTAAAATTACTGGCTTAATATATGAACTTCAAATATATGTTCCTGCAAATTCATTTTACAGCCAGCTCTTGAATGTCATTCTATAGAAAAATAAAATCTTTAACTAATTTAATGATTATTGAAATTTTACACATAATTAATTTCTAATTCTTCGCTATCCCCTGCAATTAAATATCAAAATATTAACCCTAGTTTATTTTACCACATTCTCATAAATTGCGGTGCATAAATTCATATTACACCATATAAACTCATTTATTTCTCCTTCACATACATTCGAATGATTATAAATTATTATTTCATTGCAGCACTTGACCCACAATACAGCAAATATTATTTTTTTAATGTCATTCACATGAATATGGCATCAAATTCCCCACATACGCTTCCCTTCGCTTTCTGCCCTTCACCCTTAACCTCGTCGACGCAATAAAAGCAATTTACTTGCATATTCAATGATATATCGTCCACATCCCCATCGTTCCATCCATCCATCCATCCGTCGATCTGTTTAGAGAGCGTCGTATTTAATTATGATAAAACTACTTAACTTCGCTATTCCCAGTTTAAATTGTATGCCATACGCGCTTTGATAATATTTAATTCAGTAATTGATTAATTTCATACAGCATCAATAGCAGCACTTCTCCTCCCCCATGCACAGGGGAATGGGGTGTTGTCTGTCTGCCGTACAAATCACATTTGTTTGTGTTTAAATATTCATTTCAATTCCCACACTTGTCTATTATTTGCTGTTATACACATGTTTGTGTTCAAACATAATTATTTAATATTTTTGTCCGCGTGTGTACATATGTGTGTGCAAAACAGCAATCATTTACGATGTGGGCAATTTGTACGAAATTCTGCATTTATTATAGCTTCCACCATAGAAGGGGGACATTTATTTTGTCATTCCATTTGCAACACTTCCAAATATTCTTGGGGAAGGTTAAAAAATAAATTTTTTGGGCAAAATTCGATGATTCGAAATTATAATTTTGGTAATATTGACTTCATTGAAAGGCTCTTAGGCGGAGTATCCAGGAGCAGGCATATACAATTTTGTTAGGCGTATGTTTTTCCACAATTGTTTTTGATAGGAAAACCAGTAAAGAATTGCCGAAATTTGGGCAAGGCCGAATATATAATACCCCACACCACTCTGCATATTTAGTAGAGCTAACCGTAACAAATAAACGTTTCTATTAGAATTTTATGTAACGTAGATGGCTTTAGAGCAGTTATAGAGCATTCATAATCAGAGGGAACTAATACAGGGTGAGATGAAAAAACTGCAACCAACTTCAGATTGCTGTAATTTCTAAGCCACTCGTCCGACAGCTGTTACAATTATTCCAGTGAAAGCTCATTACATTGTTTACAAGCGTACATAAGCATTTTGGTGAGAATTTTCCTGAAGAAAAGTTATTCGTGATGGAATTCAAGCATGATGGTGTGATTTCTTTATATTTGGCTGGAGAACCACAAGTGGAGCACTCCAGCATTTAAATGTGAATAAATCTTTTGTGACTCGTACCATCGCTCGTTACCGTGATACGGACGGAAGAAAACAGCTACATCAGCAGAAATGCTTCGAAAAGAAAAGAAGCGACTTATACGAAACCCGAAAAATAGCTCGTGAGCTGAACATATCGCAATATTCCATTCGGCAAATATTGAAAAGTGAGCTCGGGGTAAAGCCATTGAAATTTCAAAAAGTGCAAGAACTTACACCGCAACAGAAAGAAAATAGACTCGAAAGAGCTAAAGAGTTGCTTCGCTTGGCCGAAAGTGGTGAACTCCCGAATTTGGTTTTCTCCGATGAGAAAACATTCGTTGTCCAGCAGTTTGTAAACAAACAAAATGATCCGCTCGTGTTTACTTGCCAAAGAGGTCAGCTGAAGATGTGCACCTTCGGTTGGCCACCAGAACTTAAGCGCCGGCCAGGATAATGGTGTAAGCCTTCATAACAGCCGATGATCGCTCTCCCCTCGTATTAATCGACCATGGCATCAGAATGAATGCCGAATATTATCGCGAAAATATTCTGGAGGCTGTGTTAAAGCCTTGGGCACGCAAACATTTTGGCCGCATACCTTGGACATTCCAACAGGACTGAGCACTTTCGGACCCAACACGCGCCGCCCCAGAATGCTTACAAAATGAGGTTCCTCGCTTTATTTCCAGCGCACAATGACCACCAAAATCTTTGGATACCAATCCGTTGGACTATTGTGTCTGGAGTATTTTGGAAAGCATGGTTGGCACTAAAAAGTGCCAAAGTGTCGATCACCCCAAGCAAGCTCTTCGCCGGGAATGGGCCAAAATACCGCAGAGCAACATTCGGACAGCGTGTGACGGTTTTATGGTCCGTTTGAAGGCCATAATTCGTGCCAATTCGAACAAATCTAAACTTATTCTAAAATTTGATTCTATTTCCGACATGTTCCAAGTCTGACTGGAATCGAATGGTAATTTCGCTTTTTATGAGCTTTATGGATATTCAAAATTTTAGCCTTTGTGTGGGAGGTACCAGAAGGAGTGGACCGATATATCCCATCTTCACTGCATATCTTGTGTTAGGGGCTATAATGGGATGTGTGAATATAAGGAGAACCTGATGCTTATTTCGAATTTTATATATGTTTTGGTTAAGCAAAACTTTCACCCTTTGTGGCGGAAGCACCAGAAGGAATGGTCCGATCTTTACCATGTTTAAAAGAGATCTTGTGTTGATAAAAATTTTGAGATTTCCCAAGTCTGAATTGAATCGGATGTTAATTATGCGTTTTATTAGCTTCTTTGGTATTCAACTTTTTGAGCTGTTCCCTTATACCAGAAGGAGTGGACCGATATTTTTCATTTTAAAACCAGACCTTGGGTTAATAAAAATAATGGGATGTATGTAATTTGAAAACAATCGGACTCTTTCATCACATTTTATAAGAGTTGTAAGTATTCACAATTTTGACAATTTTATTGGGGGGAGAAGTATTTGATGGAGTGGGAGTAGGTAGAATATGAGACCGGAAGTGGCAGGGTCAATAAAATTTTACGACTTTTTGCATCGGTGCATTAACCACCCCCCCCCCCCCCCCCCAGCATGCCATGTGTGTAAAGTTTTATGGCCATCATAAATTAGGTGTGCATTGATTTTTATTGGTTTTGCCTGTCCGTGTGGCGAAGTATGTCACCCTTTGCATTGTGTTATCTGCTATTTTGTATTGATTGTGGTCTATTTGAATTTGATGTGTGTCTAACCCTGTCTTGACACTTGTGTTTTCCCCCACCCCCCTCAAGATTGAATGTGTTGTCCGTCTGTGCGATCATATGGGTTACACACAGTTGTGTATTGATTGTTGTTTGTATGTGTGGTAATGTTACCCTTCCCATAGTTTTCTTTTAGTTTAGTTATGATGCGTTTAGTTCAAATATGATGTGTCTATGTCGTGTGTTTGTCCCTAATTCTTCTCACTTGTGTTTTTCCTGAGGATTGAATGACCTTGGCGCCCTTTGTTTGCTGTTGCACATTTTGTTGCCTATATTAAGGCTTAGACGTTGTTGTTGCATGTGCCCTTAGAAAGAAATTTGTCTCGAGTTGTTGTTTTTCCTAATTAGCGTAGACATATACCTACAGTCGGGCGTATGCGTTTGATCCCTACATTCAGCCATCATCATCACTTGAGGGTAATAAAAAAATGTAATGAGACTCATATTTTGTTTTTTTGTTTTGTTTTTTTAGTTTTTTTATGTTTGGGGTTTTTATTTCACATTGGGAATGTTTGAACCGCTGTATGTATGTATGTGTGTGTGTGTGTGTGTGTGTGCGTAATTGTGCGTTGTTTGGTTTTTTTTTTTGAGCCTACCCTCACTTGGCATCATCCCACTTGTGCCACTTGTGGCACATATCAAAAGAGTTATAAAAAAAATATTTGAAATAATTTTGACAGGTCCCTCACAAATGCGGTTGACCCATCACTACAGAACTAGTGTTGTAAAACATATTTTGCTCTCGATGTTTCCTAATATGATATGTTTGTCTAATATTATCTCTTGAGGATCAAATGAGAAAATATTGGTGTGTTTATGTTAAGGGGACAAGGTAAAGGGAATACCATTTCTTTTCCCAGTAGTTGTTGCATTTAAATATTTTAGAAAAAGGATGTATTAAACTAATTCAACGCTTTGTAAATATGATTCCTTTTGCATTGAAACATCGAGATAAATCCTAAACTATGTTATGCATTAGATAGTTGTGTATTTCTTTATCCGAAAGGATTTTTAATGTAAACAATATATTGGTATTTAAAGCGGAGTAAATCTTGAGAAATATACTCAGTTTTAAAAAATCCTTTACGAAGACAGCATCTTAAGAACAAAAATGTCCTTTGCGTTCAGCGAAAAACTTTCGGAAGATGTGGATGTCAATAACTTCTATGAGGATACAGAAGGCGATATAGTCATATGTTCCGTCAAGGAAAAAAAGGATGAGGAGAATGTGGAGGATGTGGAAATGGAAGAGGTGTTGGAGGACCATGGTGAAACAACAGAGGACTCCTCAACTCATTATGAGGAGGAGGAAACCCAGTCCACAATCCTGGATGATGATGAGATTGGAGACGATGGCGATACCACGATCACTTATGAGGAGGAGGAAACCCAGTCCACAATCCTGGATGATGATGATGAGATTGGAGACGATGGCGAAACCACGATCACCGAAACAACAGTAAACGAGCTTGACAGAATACGAGAGGGTCTGCCGGAACGAGCAGTGGTTACCTCATCGATCGTATTATGCCCACCTCAATACAGTGTTCTTCATGATTTTGAGGATTATATTAATAAGAATTTTGTAGATTTAAATTATATAGTTCAAAATAATGAGCATTATAAAGAATTAAGGGTACATTTCAATGAATTTGACAAAAATAGAAATAAATAATAAAAAAAAAAAATGTATATATATATATATATTGTGTTCTTTATTTGGTGGGATGGTTTGGGTTAAAAAAAAAATACATTGAGTTCTTTAAAAATAGAAATACATAATAATAAAAATAAATTACATTGTTTTCTTCATTTGGTGGGGATGGTTTGGGTGAAAAAAAAATCATTGTGTTCTTCATTTGGTGAGATGGTATGGGTGAAAAAAAAAAAAACAAGTTTTTCATATAAATAGGAGGACTATGTTGCTAAAGAAAACAGTGTGAAATAAAGCCTAATAGAAATAATGTCGAGCGTAAACCTTGTAAATTTATTCAACTCCTACAACCACAAAAGGATTATCACAATAAAGGAGATGGATCAAAACAGGGATTACGTTATCAGTGGAGCATACAGAACCCAAACCAAATATGGTGAAAGAATTGTGCTTAAACTGGATGATGCTATACTTTACCTGCCATCTAGGTTCTTAGCACTACGAGAAGAAGACGTCAAGGAATTGGGATGCGGTGGATATACCATATCAAAATCAACAATGGGAGGCGAGAGAGATAACACATTATACAAATTGGAATTGAAGCAAAAAAAATCTAATTTCTTTTATCAACCATATTTAGCTTAGTAAATACAACAACAAAAATGTAAATAAATAAAAATAAATTTATATTTGAAATGAAATTTTTGTGTTTTTTTTTTTTTTTTTTTCTACATGAAAATGTTGGCATCTATAGAATATAAGACTAAATATCATTGTTAGAAGTTATTCAGTCGAGGAAAGAACAAGCGTGAAGAATATGGCATCAAAAAATTTGGGGAGCAAATGCTTGGAAAAGGATGCAGGATGGGATAATCCGGAAATTGATGAATATCTTATGATGAAGGCTTCTCAATTCGAGGCTTTTTATAGTTTGATGATACCAATAGAAGAGGAATTCCCTAGAAATGAAATACCCACAAGGAATGAAAATCATATACTTACAGAGAATGAAGTCAATGGAGATGATTATATACACATAACTGAAGGACAATCATTGTGGGATTTAGATGAAAATGATCCATGGTGGGAATAACATAAGATATATTTAAATATAAAACGAAAATGTTATTGTTGTGTGAGAGAAAATGCAGAAATAAATAATGTATTATTTAATAAAATCAACTCGGTTTTTCATTTACACTTCACAGTTTGTGAGTGGAGCTCCTAGTAGAAAGATGTACCCCCAACTAAATAAGGAAACTGAACGTCTGAAAACATTTTCAAATTGGCCACTATCCTATCCAGATCCCAAAACCATGGCAGCAGTGGGACTATTTTACACTGGAGTAGGCGATGTAACAAAATGTTATTTTTGTGAAGTGTATATTCATCGTTGGAAACAGACCGATTGCCCGGTATCTGAACATTTGAGAAATTCTTGCAGCTGTCCTTTATTAAGAAGATGTGTTACAAACAATATTCCCGCAGCACCTAAAACTTTAGATGTACTACTTCCAGAATTGGGATTAGATGTTTGTAGTCGTACATTAGTGAATCCTTTTTCACCAATATTCATTATATTATATACATTTATAACCTTCAATTCTATAAATAAAATATTTAAAAAATAAGAAAAAAAAAAAAAAATATATTTTTTTTTTTTATTATTATTATTCTTTATTGATTTCATCATATATTAAGTCCATGTTTTTGTTCCAATTTTGCTCAATAAATACAAATATTTTAAATAAATTATTTATAGCACATTTATACACAAAGCTTGAATGTATTGAACAATTAGTAAAATAATTTCGACATGTTCTTAGCTTAATTTTGTCTTCTAAATTTATTATGTTAGCAGTGAGATATTTCTGTAGAAATTGTTTTTTGTCTCTTCCAACAACAAAAATGTACTTATATTCATCCAATGGCATGAGGACACTCTCAACCTCATTGTAGTCCACATCTCCATCCTCCCAATCCAATCCGTTTACAAAGTTCTTACAGTATACATTTGTTCTGCAGGCTTCGTTAGTAAGTTCTTTTATATTAAAAGGCGGACGAAACAGAAAATGATTAGGCACAATAGAAGTACCACAAATGAACGCCAGCTCCTTCATAAATATGCTCTTGTGGTTTCCATGACAAAACTGAAAATCCACTATCGCAATATCCGACCTATCAACTGATTGCATCTTCATGGAAGTATTAAATTGAACTAACCAATTTCATGTTTTAAATTTTGTATTTATAAGCTTTTTCTATTAAGAACTTTAAACAGAGGTGTCCACAATTGTATGTGTTAAAGTGTTGATCTCTTTTATAATTATAAGTAATATTTGGACCTAAATAATATAAAATTTCTAACGGAGGTTGGAGATTTCCAAAACTATCATAATATTCAATGATGTTGTCATATTTATAATATGCTACCCAATGCGTGCCAGGTCCACTATCATTATCCATATTTATAATACCACACTCTTTCTTATATGGCATCTTAGGTAATCTGTTGCGCATATATACACCTCTAAAGCGTGGTATATATTTTTTTCCAAAAGAATATATTTGTTTGTCAGTAAGTGGTGCGTTGGGTAGTTGCTTAATTAGTTTTTTGATGTATTATTCAAGTAAATACCAAAACCTTTTTTGTAGGGTTTTAAATACAAACCCTTACCCATAGCTATAGCTTCGATAGTTTTGTTATGTCTGGTTTGCTCCTCTAATTGTCGTTTGGCATTTTTAGCATTCATAACAGCATTAGCAATTGCTGAACTACCCGATGCTAGGGCACCCAAAGCACCTAGACCTGTTAGAATAGGTATAAGGGGAAGAAATCCCCCAGTTTTTGGTAACTTAATAACTCGTGGTACAACTACCTTTGCCTTTCTTCCGCGAAAAGTTTTTTGAATTTCTTTTCTTGCTATTTTTATAGCATCATCAATATCAGTTGGTTTTACACTCTTAAGTTTCATTGACGCATTTTTGAGTGCTTTATTAAAAATCTGTTGACCAGTAGCTTTTTGAAGTTTTTTATTTTTTAAACCCATACCAAACTTTGTTTTCGCTTTCATTATGTTCGAGACTAGATATGCGTTAATTTTTTCGCCAAGGCTGCTATCTTTTGCTTTAACTCGCTCCCACGCTCTTTCAGCTAGTTCACGATCAGCAATGTGTCGTTTATGAATATTTTCGTTTTGTGAATAAGCGATATCGTGTTCTCTGCAAGCAGCATCCAATGGGTTAACACCTTTATCCCCCCTTTCTAATCGTTTTAAGAGCTTAGTTCCGGGGCCACAGAATTGATAACCCGGCAGATGAAGTTCCACTGGTAAAGAATTAATTAATTTATTTACAAGTCCTCTTCCTTTAGCGGTTCTCTTTCTAATAACATTATTGTTGTTATAAACAATCATTTTATACTTTTTGAGCTTGCTGTAAACAAGAGAATAAGATAAATAGACATTGTCAATTAAATCACTCATTAGTTACGAAATGAGATTAGTTGAACAACAAGCAAAACTTCCAGTGCGAAATGCGGATTTCGTACAAAAGAAATCACCCAGACACAGCGTTTTATTACCAAATTCTATAAGAGCCTTAATAGTTGGCCCTTCGAATTGTGGAAAGACTAATGTTATGCTAAGCTTGATAGAAAGTCCAAATGGTTTGAAATTCCAAAATGTTTATATATATTCTAAATCTCTATATCAACCGAAATACGAATATCTCAAGAAACTTATGTCATCTATAAAGGGTATGCGATTGTTTACTTTCAATAATAATGAGGATGTTGTACAACCAGAAGATATAAGGCCAAATTCAATTATCATATTCGATGATGTGGCTTGTGATAAACAAAATAATATTAAAACGTACTTCAGTATGGGTCGCCATAAAAATGTCGATTCATTTTATTTATGTCAGACATATACTAGGATTCCGAAACATTTACTACGTGATAATGCAAATATGATTATTATGTTCAAACAAGATGATTTAAATTTAAAACATATATACAATGATCATGTTGGAAGTGATATGAGTTTTGAAAAATTTAAAGAAATATGTCGTGAATGCTGGAAGGAAAAATATGGATTTCTAACAATTAGCAAAGACGATGATATTAACTCGGGAAGATATAGAAAGGGATTTCACACATTTATACAACCATAAATATATTTAAGTAATCCCTATTATAACCACTGCTATTAGTATAATCACAACCATGGAAGAAGAAATGTTAAAGCGCCTTGTTAAGTCCCGAAATGCCTTGAAAAGAAAATTACGAAGCATTAAAAGGGGGGAGGAATTAAAAACAAACGAATTGAAAAATACATTCAAACCCATAACTGAGCCAATACATAAACTATTAAAACTAACGAATGTTAATGCATCAAATCAACCAATACCTAAGAAGGAAAATATTGAATCATATAAAGATTATTTTGCTATGAGTACACCCGTTAAAAAATTGAAACACGATATTAAGCCAGAACCTAAAATTTTATGGGAGGAAACCGATGAGTTGGATTCAAAAGATGACACATTTTATACAGATAATGATGATACCGTTGACCTTTCTCTTTTAAATAAAAACAAAAAATTGGATACGGTATATGGACCACACAAAGATATTCACGGAGAATGGAAATTTGGGGACAAACCATTAAAAGTTGATGATCAGAAAATAATTATTGGAAATCAACATTGGGCATTTACACCGGGTCTATTTGAACTACTATTTTATCAAAAACCTAAAAATTATGACGCGTCAGAACTAGAAATATATAAAAAAATTTTGCTGGACTCTAATGCACATAAAGTAAACTTTAAGCATAATGAACGAATCAAATCCAACAGAGGATATAAATATAAACGTGTTATTAAACACTTGATGGATGATACTCACAGCGGCAAAGGCCTAATGAGAGTAAATCTCGGTAAACCGAACTATATATACTGGGACGATCCTAATGAATTAATAGAACGATTAAAGCTGTTGTTAGCATCACAACAAGCCGGCAATAATAATCATACTAATGAGATTGTTTCTATTATCGAGGAACTGAGAGAGGGAAATATAATTTATTAATCACCTGAATTACAAAATCAATGACTGTGGATAAGTTTGGTCATCATTATCATCTAAAATATACTTCAGCCACACTAAAGGGAAATGTTTCGAAAGTGCTGGGAATCAATATTGATGAAGATAACAATTTGGACATACAGAATAAGAGGATTAAAAACTTGGCTCCCCCGGCGGGAGGATCGGATGCGGTCAACCAAGCATACGTACATTCGCAAAACAAGAACCTACAAGAAATATTAAAGAAAAACGTATTTCAAGAGTGCTCCGATATAAGAGAAGAAATATCGCGTTTAAAACACTCGTTAAACGAACTTTATGGTATTTTATCGAAAAACACATTTACTCACTCCACTGTAAAATATTACACTGAATAAAATGGAAAAACGGGAATTAGTGAATGAACTCCACACTCAGGCAAGAAAAAAATTTAAGAGGCGGAGGGTTATTATAAAGGGGATTGACGACCTATGGCAAGCTGATTTAGTTGAAATGGGCAACTATTCTAAAGCAAACAAGGGATACAAGTTTATGCTAACAGTTATAGATACCTTTTCAAAATATGCGTGGGCTGAAGCGCTCAAGTCTAAAAATGCCACTGAAGTTTGTACAGCATTTGAAAAAATACTGAAAGCAGGACGAATTCCGAAAAATTTGCAAACCGATGATGGGAAAGAATTTTTTAATAAAACATTTGGGGGACTTATGCATAAATATAGAATAAATCATTATTCTACATATAGTGTATTGAAAGCATCAATTATTGAACGTTTCAATAGAACCCTAAAAGGAATGATGTGGAAAGAGTTTAGTTATAATGGAAATTATCAATGGATCAAACTCTATAGGGATTTACTAGACAAATATAATAGCACCCCTCACGGAACGATAAAAATGGCTCCAATACAAGTTAATTCCTCAAACGAGAAGAAACTGCTGAAATCCGTTTATAATCATATAAAAATTTTTAAAAAACCACGCCTTCATGTCGGCGATCACGTACGCATCAGCAAATATAAACATCATTTTGAAAAGGGTTATACTCCAAACTGGACAACCGAAATTTTTAGAATAAGAACGATAAAAATAACCAACCCCACTACATATCTGCTGGAAGATTTTGAAGGAAATCCAATACAAGGATGTTTTTATAGAGAAGAACTTTTGCCTACAAAATATCCAAACACATATTTGGTGGAGAAAATTCTAAAATCAAGGAATGACAAAGTTTATGTGAAATGGTTGGGTTTCTCAAATCGGCATAATTCTTGGATAGATAAAAATGATGTTTTGTAATGATATTTAACAATAAAATATAAAAGTATGAGAATCGATTGTGTACTGTTTATTACAACTTAGTATCTTGCAATGTCAAGAACGTTTACTTTGACGGGTAGAAATTCAATTTTATGCTCAAATTATTCACCACCTATAGAATTAGGTGATAATGATTACGAGTGTAGTTTAATTGATTTTCAATCGTACAACTCAATTCCTAATGTGGATGAGGATAATAACTTGTTTCATATTGGAAATGATACAATAGAAATACCTATAGGATCATATGAATTGCAAGATATTGCAGACTTTTTGGAAACAGTGTACAGATCTATGTACATAAATAGATCTATAGATATTAAAGCCAATAATAATACATTACAAATAGAAATTACATCATCTCATGATCCTATTTATTTCAATAAGGAGAAATCTATATCAAAACTCTTTGGTTTCACAGACAAAGTTTTAGAGCCTGGAAAAAAGCACATATCTAACCTTCCAGTAAATATTTTGAAGGTGAATGCTGTTCAAATACACTGCAATATAGTAACTGGTTCATTTATGAACAACTCACCTGCACATATTCTTCACGAATTTTCTTTAGATGTTCCCCCAGGCTATAAATTGGATGAAAGACCATTGAACCTCATTTATTTGCCTTTGAACGTCAAGGAAATCAGTCGTCTTGAAATATTAATACTAGATCAAGAAGGTCGATTGATAAACTTTCGGGGAGAGGAAATCACACTTCGAATTCATATAAGACCAATACAATCATGATTATATACAATAAATACAATTATAAACAAACTCCTAAAAACATTCAACATAAAGTCGTCAAACCGACAAGACCATTTCTAACTAAGGAAAATAAAGAGTTTTTAAAATTACTTAAATTAAAAGTAAAACCCAATGTCTGAAGTACTTAATATAAATGAACGGCCATTCTCTGATGAGAATATCATAAAGCGGGATTATCACAGCTATGTTCCTTATGTTCAATCATTTAAAAACAATGATGAACTACGTATAAGCATTCAAAACCAAGATTTGTACATATTACCATCAGAGAGCTATTTGTACATTGAAGGGCATTTGAGAAAAGCAAATGGAGAAATTTCACCAAACGCTAGACTGAGGAATAATTGTGTTGGGTATATGTTTGACGAAATTCGTTACGAACTAAACGGTGTTGAAATTGATCGTACACGCTATCTTGGAATGTCAACAAAAATTAAAAATTGGATTTCTTTAAATCCATTTGAAAGTAATGTTATGAGTAAAGCAGGATGGAACGTAGATGGTGATATAACCACTAATTCTTTTAACTTTTGTGTACCCTTGAATCGTCTGCTGGGATTTGCTGAAGACTTCAACAAAGTAATATGCAACAGTAAGCATGATTTAATTCTCTTGCGGAGCGCTAATGACATGAATGTGTGTTATTCAACTGACTCGAAAGAAGACATTCGACTAACAATCACAAACATTGTGTGGAAAGTTCAACACATTCATTTGTCTGATTATAGAAAAATTAGTTTTCTGAAAACTATAAAGGAAGGAAAAACATTGCCGCTGGCGTTTCGTAGTTGGGATTGTTATTTTAATCCAACTTTTTCTGGTGGTTTAAAACATAATTGGAGTGTTAAAATGTCTGCCAATCATGAAAGACCGCGATATGTTGCTTTAGTGTTTGAAAGAGACAACAAATTGATCCACTGTGATCTTGAGAACATCAAAGTACACTTGAATTCTGAGACATACCCTTATGATGATTTAAATCTTAAGTTCTCAGAGAATCGTTATGCAATACTTTATGACATGTATGCCAAATTTCAACAAACATATTATATGAGGGAACCACAACCGCTTCTAACATACACTACGTTTAAACATAATCCAATTACCGTTATTGATATAAGCAATCAAAATGAAGCTGTGAAAAATGGACCAATTGATTTAAAAATCGAATTTACCACCAATATCCCAATACCTCAAAACACCTCATCATATTGTCTAATCATTCATGACCGCCTGGTGGAGTACATACCTTTAACCGGAATTGTTCGAAAAGCTGTATAAGTAATTTATACTTCCATGTCTTAATATTAAGTATATTTGTGAAATAAAACTAAATGTTTGATTTTTTTTTATTTTTAAGCAATAAATGTTTTATTAAATATATACAGATTTTTTTATTTATTTACAAAGTCATTTTCATTAAAATTTAAAAATTGTATAAAATCAAGAGATTCACAATTTGTATATTCACTATCTGAATCCCCCAACAATTCAAAAATAGATTTGTCATCCCCGTCTAAAGGAATGTCTATTGTATTTACAGGAGGTATGTTATTTATATCTACATCTAGTTCTATAGGAAAATTAGAAATACTTATATTTTCTAAATCTATAACGTCATTATTATTTACATTTGCGATCAATTCAAAAATAGAATTGTCGCTTGCATTTTCAATATGAAAATCAAGTTCCATTGGGATCACAGAATTTTCTTCATTTGAAAGGGCTACCTCATCTTCGTTATCATTTTTAAGTTTATAATGGCCCCAAGCATACGTACTTACACCATCTTCCCGTATAAATCTTTTATCATCTTGGAAACTGAGACACACTTTAGTTATATTGTCTGTGTATATCTCATGTTTCCTCGATCTAAATGTATACATACTATTATAATATTTTATTCGATTATACAGACAATCCCTATACGTGTCAATGGTGTACTGCTTCATAACAGATTTTTTAACACCCTTTGATTTCTTTACCTCTTCACTATTGTGGACTTTCATAGCGTACATTTTTGGTCTTAGGCCTACAAATTCCGATACCGTCTTTCCGCAGTTCTCATCCTTCATCATTCCTATAACTTTTTTATTAAGAAGAGGTATATTATATGGATTGGATGGTGAAAAATCTGATGTATCAAATCTAGCCAGTATTTCCTCTCGTGATAGTTCAGCAAAGAGGTTGCGGTTAGTGAACGTTAGTATGAATGAATCAGTATCCATATAGTTTAATATGAAGTCGTTTCCAAACTTAACTTTTAAAAAATCATAAAAGAAATCGTACATGACCCATTTCGATAACTCTAGAATACAAAATCCAAGGTATATCGGTTTATCATCTGAAAAGTGTGTAAGACTATGAAAATTTGGTTTTGAAATAAATTCCCGTGCACCCCAGCGCTTCCCATAAGATTCCCAATGGTTTCTTATTTCCACGATTTTCCTTTTGTCCACATTTTCCATTGTTTTGCCATAAACAGAATTATTCATAAATTTATAAAAATTTTTTGCGAAAGCATCTGTGGCTTGTGCTCTGAGATTGTTATTTTTCATTATGTATGCTGCAAGCCAATTAGATTGCGTAAACTGTAAACAGCTATTAATTTTTTTAAGAATTAAATTATGCTGGATACATTGTTGAAGCACTCTATAATCAATTGTATAAGACGTTTTGTCATTCAAATCTGCAATCAACTTTTTGATCTTACAGCCACCGACACATTTGGATTCAGGACAAAAGGGTAAATCATTGTGTTTGTCATGCAGATTTTTTGGATATTCTAAATCCACATTAAAAAAATAACCAGTTGGTGAATCATTTGGAATCGCTAATATTTTACTGACGTCATTGAATATTTCCAACTCTTCTTGAGTTAAAAACTTAAAATCTTTTTGTGGCAAACATTGTGTCATTGCTTTACCATATAAATTGTTGACGTCTAAATAATAAATATTTACCTCGGGTTTACTAGGGTCATAGTCTTCAGTGTATTTACTATTGGCTACCGAGTGTCTATTTGAACATTGTGTAAGTCCACCTCTAATGCCATTTTTACAGAAATTATACATGTTAATATCTGTAAATAGCTCTAATTCAACACCCGTGCACAGCAACATGGCATCCCAAGATAGTGATGGTACTGTGAAATACTGACAAGGATCAAGTCTATGGTGACGGAGGCACAAACTTCGAAAGTTTTCGAACACATCAGCCAACAGTAAGACATCTGCTGTTAAATACAACTCCATATAATCCTTGACAGTTTGGCATTCAAAGTGCCTCCATACATTCTGCGCATGTCTATAATCATCTAACGAACACTCACTGTCAGTCAACCTGTTGTAAAATTCATTTCGGTTAGGCAATTTTCTTTCATATAATTTGTCCAATGAAGACACGTATTCATAAGGGAAAACTCCTTTCCTAGTTAGCAGATTGAAATCAGCATCATTTGGAAACTGTGTACGAACAGCTTGAAATGCGTTTTTAGGTAGATTTTTAGCCAAACTATCCAAACTGGAAGACATAAAACGAAAACTGTCCAAGAACCTCAGTTCAAATTTATTCCGCCATTTGTTTTTCGAATTCACCGAAGAATTATGATCGACCATTTCGTTTGAATCGTTGTTCATTTTAGTGAAATATGACATTGAAACATATAATTCTTTATTTAATGGAATTACTTTAATTTCTCCATCAAAGTGAATTAATTCTTTGAAGAACAAATGGCAATCATAAGAAGAAAAATTGTGGAAGAATATCGGCACAAATTTTGGCACATGGTATTTCAAATTACATTCATTGTGTGCAGCTCCTCGATATTTTCCAGTTAAATGACAATGATCCTTAACTCGGTCATTACCTAGCTCTTTCTCACAAATGTGACACACAGTACTGCTATTAAAATCATCTAATTCTGTCTGAGACAAAGAAATCATTGGTACCGTTTTTGACAAATATGTGTTGTAAATAAATTTACAATCCCCTATAAGATTTTCTAAAAAGTTTCTCGCAGCATTGGGGCCACTATATATATAAAATTTACTTAAACTATCATTAAAACTACATTTAATATAATAACTAAATGCACAAGGAATGTGCCTTTTTACCGTTACTGTGTTTGTATTTGTGTTTGTGTTGAGGTTCTCCGGGTTCCAATCCTCTAGAATACATTCAGCATCCGCATAGATCACAAATGGAACTCTCTCCTTTTTGTGGTAGTTTTTAAACCGAATAATGTTTTCTCCTTCTTTAGGCATCTCTGTTACGACCCCAACACACTCCTTCTCATGTTTTGCATATACGGCTTCCGTGGTGAAACTTTGTATGCAGCCATCACAAATGATTGATCTACCTCTATGTGCTGTTATTTGCGAACGTAATAACCTAGAAAGCAATAGATATATTCATTATTTATCATATTTAATAGTAATATTACTATGCTATTTTAACTTACCGTGACATATCCATGATCAATATGTAGTGGAACTTGTCGCCCTCATGAAGAAGCATCAAGTTAATATGACGATTCCTTCGTTTTGGGGTAAGATAGTAGGGTCCAACTATCTGATTTCCATCATAGCCGAAGACATTAATACTAATATCTTCATTATTGGCCTCAAAATCCTTGATATTTTTTATCGCCATAGGGAAACTAAGTCCTCTAAAATTCAATATCTCCCCGGATGGCAAGTATATAATCTCTTCGGTTATATTAATATTATATGATTGCGGATTAGACTTATCACATGCTGCTGGTTCCGATAAAGCTGCCACAATACACCATTTGAAGCAAAATTCATCGTAATTTCTAATGTTAAGACAGGCATTCTTTTTTGATAAAGAGAGCGGTGTCTTCAAGAACTGAGAGCCACGAGTTAAATTAGCTTTATATATATTTATATTCAGCTTTACGATTTTCTCTAAAGCCCAGCCAGAATCTCTTTCTTGAAATTCAGACATTTTATTAATTATACGATTCGCGTGATCGTGGAATAATTGGCTTATATTGTCACCTTCCGTTATCAACGACATTTTTGACATATGGCAAAACATATTTTGACTTGTATTTAAAACCATATTTGATGTTGATGGTTCATCACGTTGACTTATTGGCTTGACATATTCTCCTATAAGCTCAATATTGAATTTTATAGGCATATTTCTCGTAAAGTTCTTCTCGACCAAGCTGACAATCGTTTCTTTGGCATCGCTTAATAATTCATTTGGCAGCAAAATGTTTTTTGCATTAATATACTCGAAGGTTAGTATATTTTTGCCAAATGAGTTTTTGACAATATTGATATTTTCACCAAAAATTTGGCGAATTACACGCCGATGTTCATCACTACGAAGATGAGCGGACATATTTCGCACTGCTTTATGGCACTCATTGCAGAACTTGTTTCCGCCTTCACTTTGTTGGGATGGAATGTTATGATTATTGCCTGTGATTTGGTCAATTATAAATTGATTCCGCATCAATGGTAGGGTAACACTATTGCAGTTTGCATGTTCTATATTGTCTAATCTTGAGTTATTAGATGGTTGATTTTGCACAGGTGGACATCCATAATTCTTTTGATGAAATTTTAATTGATATGTATTACTAAAAAACTGTCCACATCCGCTGCAATGCTTGTTAACGTGTCTCAAATATTCGCGTTTAACAGTGAACGTTTCGGAGCAGAATTTGCAAATATTTTGTGCCATTTTGATTTCGAAAAATTTGATGGTGATGCTTGCGATTGAATTTCTTATTTTATACTAAACCTATTTTTTAAAAAACTCAGTCCTATATTAACATTGGCCATTTCTATAGAAAACCTAAGAAACCTCCACTAACAGATACATATGTATTTTTCAAAACATTTTCCATCCTAGGTCTTCCAAAATACAACAAGTACACGTAAGATCAGATTGCCCTTGTAATTTTCAAAATGTTACATCTTGTCACCAAACATAAATTCAAACAGTTTTCTCATATGGATTGAATGTAGTAACTTCGAATAATTTCAAGTAATTTTTTTTTTCTTTTCTTTTTTATATAACTTTTTGATATGTGCCACAAGTGGCACAAGTGGGATGATGCCAAGTGAGGGTTGGCTCAAAAAAAAAAAAAAACCAAACAACGCACAATTACACACACACACACACACACACACACACACACACACACATACAGCGGTTCAAACATTTCCAATGTGAAATAAAAAACCCAAACATAAAAAACCAAAAACAAAATATGAGTCTCATTACATTTTTTTATTACCCTCAAGTGATGATGATGGCTGAATGTAGGGATCAAACGCATACGCCCGACTGTAGGTATATGTCTACGCTAATTAGGAAAAACAACAACTCGAGACAAATTTCTTTCTAAGGGCACATGCAACAACAACGTCTAAGCCTTAATATAGGCAACAAAATGTGCAACAGCAAACAAAGGGCGCCAAGGTCATTCAATCCTCAGGAAAAACACAAGTGAGAAGAATTAGGGACAAACACACGACATAGACACATCATATTTGAACTAAACGCATCATAACTAAACTAAAAGAAAACTATGGGAAGGGTAACATTACCACACATACAAACAACAATCAATACACAACTGTGTGTAACCCATATGATCGCACAGACGGACAACACATTCAATCTTGAGGGGGGTGGGGGAAAACACAAGTGTCAAGACAGGGTTAGACACACATCAAATTCAAATGGAAAGGTTAACATTGCCGCACATACAAACAATAATCAGTACAATACTGTGTGTAACACACATGATCGCACAGACGGACATATTCAATCTTGAGGAAAAACACAAGTGCCAAGAATGAGGGTGAGACACACATCAAATTCAAATAGACCACAATCAATACAAAATAGCAGATAACACAATGCAAAGGGTGACATACTTCGCCACACGGACAGGCAAAACCAATAAAAATCAATGCACACCTAATTTATGATGGCCATAAAACTTTACACACATGGCATGCTGGGGGGGGGGGGGGGTGGTTAATGCACCGAGGCAAAAAGTCGTAAAATTTTATTGACCCTGCCACTTCCGGTCTCATATTCTACCTACTAGTGGGCCGACATTGTCCATTTTCGCACCTGACCTAGCACTGATGCAAATATTAGGAGTTACAAAGTTGGAGCAAAATCGGATTATCCTCTCTATTTCTGTGTAGAAAATATATTTTTTTGAAAATGTCGATCTTTTGTGGGGGAGGTACCAGAAGGAGTGAACCAATATATCCCATCTCCGAACTCGATCTAAGTTTGACAAAAATACTACCATGTACCAAGTTTGGACCAAATCGGATACTTCCTTCAGGAGTTATCGTGGGCATCAGACAGATAAACGGATGGAGGAGACCGACATTGCCCATTTTCGCACCTGAACTTGCACTGATTAAAATATTAGGTTTTGCAAAGGTGGAACAAAATCGGGTTATCCTTCTTCTTTCTGTGCGGTTATTTTATTTTTTTTTTTTTGGAAATTTCGACAATTTGTGTGGGACCGGTATTGCCTATATCCGAACTCGATCTTATTCTGAAAATAATATTACCATGTAACAAGTTTGGGCCAAATCGGATACTCCCTTCGAAAGTTATCGTGCCCACCAGCCAGACAGATAATGGATAGGTAAATCGACTCCAAATGTCCTGAAACGTATTTTGTCCAAAGAGACCCAATGTCTAAAACCGTTATTTCGATGAGGCACGTTTTGGCCGTATCAAATGATGTATGCCCTCTCTAGCCATATAACTGATGGTATAACAAGTTAAAAACTATCAGTCGGTTTTGCCGACAAATGTATATCCTCAGCCAATGTTCGATTATTTAAATGCTCGTAATTTGAAGATAAGCGGACCCCTATTCCACATTTTATAAAAGTTACAATTATTCAAAATTTTGAACCTCATGGAATCAGCAGATTTTTTTTTCGCAACTGACCTAGCACTGATAGAAACTTCATTATTTTCCTTAGATGCAATAGGTCCCCAGGGTTCTGAAAATTATTGATTTTAAGAACAACATTCTTAAAGAACCTGCAGATGGTTTAGTAGAAAAATACGACAATTAACGAATTTTATCTGAGCTAATACCCTAAGCAGATAATTAGTATTTCCTTTCATTGCAATTTAAAAAGACCAAATTGGCGACCGCATTATTTTTAATTCTATTGGAGGTCCATAGCAGAATTTTCATTGGCTTAAAATCTCTTTCCCTTACATCTCCTTGCTAAATCCCAACACAGTTCAAATCTCGCAAACTTTAACGTTAATTAGGTTAATTACAAAACTTACCCAGCAACAACTTTCGGTTGCAAAATTTACATTCAATTGAAATTTGAAACAACCACAGAAGGCATTCAGTCATTCATTCCGAACACTGATGTCTTTAAATATTTGTTCATTATTTTGTAGAAAATCAATAAAGTGTAAATCATATTCACAACGTCGGCAATGTTGTGCAACAGATTGGGGCGATGATGCACAATTACACACGCACACACACACACACTCGCACAAAAACTCCTCTTGGCCTTAATGCAAAATTGATATTGACGAACATAATTAATTGCTAGAATTACAACGCAAACTCATTACGACTAAGGTTGTTCAAGCATTCGGTCGTTCCTTCATTCAAACATTTATACATTTATTCATATGTATGTACGGATGTGTGTGTGTGTGTGAGGGGATTGATGAATTGAAGAATGTATGAGAACGGACATTAGTTTTCCGTGGAATTCTTTTGTGTACAACAAGGTTGAAGGGTTTCCATTGAAAATGTTGCCTTGCACTTTTGCAAGGATTTGTTAGCTGCGAAAAAAAAAACAAAAATTGAATTAAATTAATTAAAACCGAAATTATTGAAAAAGAGAAAATTTTTATTGAAAATATTGTGGGAACAAAACTCATCAGCAAGCACAAGCAATTATTTCAGACTTTAAAGTCTAAGCGTCACCTTCTCTATGGAAATTCAAAAGTGAGCCCATTGCTTAACCAGAGGGTATATATCTTTTGATACGACCAAAACGTGCCTCATCGAAATGACGGTTTTAGACCTTAGGTTCCTTTGAGCCAAATCCGTTTCAGGACATTTGGAGTCGAGCTAGCGGTGTCTGTCCATCTGTCTGTCTGGCTGGTGCGCACGATAACTCTCGAATGGGGTATCAAAATTTGGTACATCGTAATATTATTATCAAACATAGATCGAGTTCTCAGATGGGCAATATAGGTCCACTCCTTCTGGTACCTCCCCCCACAAAAGGTCGATATTTTTTAAAGACAATATTTTATTGCACAGATTGAGAAGGGATAATCTGATTTTGCTCCAACTTTGTGAATCGTAATATCTTCGTCAGTGCTGGTGGAGAATATCGGTCCACTCCATCAAGTACTTCCCCCACAAAGGTTCAACATTTTGAATAATTATAACTAATACAAAATGTGATGTAAAAGTACGATTGTCTTCAAATTACACACATCTCAATATTTTTATTTACCCAAGGTCTGGCGTGAAGATGGAATATATCGGTCCACTCCTTCTGGTACCTCCCCTCAAATTTTGAATATCAATAAAGCTCATAAAACGCGGAAATTAACATTCGATTTCATTCAGATTTGGTACATCTCAATATTTCTATCAACACAAGACCTGTTATAAAGATGGTAGATATTGGACCATTCCTTCGGGTACCTCTATCAAAAAGGGTCGAATAACCACAGGGTTGAATAACAAAAACGATCATAAAATCCGAAATAAGCAACTTGTTATCTTCAAATTTCACACATCTCATTACAAACACAAGATCTGCTGTGAAGATGGGATATATCAATCCATGGGATATATCCCAGAAAGGGTCACAATTTTCAAAACTTGCAAAAAAGTTAGCTATTCTTTCTAACGTGCTATACGAGTATCTAAACATTTCTCTCAACCAGAAACATGAGATAAATATAGAATTTATGATTTCACATAAAATTGGATATAAATGTTCGATTTTGTTGTAATTTTGCCCATACCAATATTTTTATCAGTATTAGATGAAGTATGAAAATGGAAAACTTTGGTCGACTCTATCCGGCACCACACGCACATTTTAGCATTTTTCTAAAAATTATCACATATCTCATATAAA